AGGAGGGAGGGTGAGAATGGGGGGGCTTTGGGGCCGAGGGGCTCCTCTGTGCTGGGGAGGAGGCGGATGGGGCAAACGGGCGGGAGGAGCCAAGGGTAGGAGGCCGCACCTTGAAGCAAGGATACGGAGGGGTCCTTGCGGCAGACGTGTGGGTTAGCCGGGGATGTCCTTGCGTTGTTGCAATGCCAGGACCTCGCTGTTCCGCGTGGCCGGGTGGGTTTCCGCTGTGTGTGTGGCCCGCGTTTTCTGACCCGTCATCCACATCCACGGCTGGGAACTGTGGACCTGGGCGTGCAGACGTCTCTGCCATGGCTTCTTGAGGCCTTTGGGTGCATATCAGCCTCGGGCTCAGCTTCTTAGGGAGCTCCTGGGGTGTTGAGCCCCTCGGTGCCCCCGTTTACTTCTGTACCTATAAGTGGGGGGGCTCTCGGTCCTGCGCCTCGTCGGGCGTGGTGAGGGTTCAGTGGCGAGGTCAGGCTTGTGCTCAGCAAGCAGACAGATACAAGTCTACCCTGCCACCGAGCTGGGATCCAAGGCCCACCTGTGAGCTGTGAGTGGAGTGTGCAACGGGGCACATTCCTGGAGTTCTCCGAACCTCAGTTTCCTCCTCTGTAACGGGAGCTGTTACAGTGTGCACCTCCCAGCTGGCGCCAAGGAGGAGCCGCTTTTATTTGAAAAGTCCTCGACCACTAATCCTTAGGACCGCAGTGCAAGCCCTGGAGATCGTTGTCACCCTCCTGAGTGGCATGTCCTTGAACAGTCTGGTTGACCAGGGTGGAGATGAAGGCGTAGCCAAGGGTGGGAGTGGGCTGTGACCAGGAGGAGATGGATGACACTGGGAAGCAGAGCTGGGGCTCTTCAGCCTCCACTCCAGGATTAAAACAACAATCAATGCAATCAAAGACTTCCAGGAAGAAGGAAGTACCGTAATTACCCGAACTGTGGAGGCTTGAAGATGTCCTCATTATTAGTTCCCCGGCATTCCGGGAACAAAAGAACAGCCCGGAATTAACAATTTCCATGAAGCCTAACAAAGATAACAATGCGCCTAAGCAGGAGGGTGCTGGGTGGGATGACAGGGAGAAGAAAACTCTCCTCATTACTGAGTAGAAATCTAAGGCTGGGATGTAGCTCAGTAGGAGAGTGCTCGCCTAGCATATGCAAGGCCCTGGCTCTAATTCCTAGCACCAAATAAATACATGTATATTAACAGCCAAAGTGCAAAGGAAGAAAATAGTACACTTTAAGCAGCAGGAAACGTAAAGAGAAAATATCTGTTTCAAAAAGGTCCACCCCCTGCTCACCTCCCCCCATGTCTCCAAGAAATTAACAAGAGTAACTTAGAAGCTGTGACCTCAAATACTGTTAGAAGTGGACAGAGATGGCTTGGACAGAAGCCACAAGGAGGCCAGGGGTAGAACTCAGAGAGAAGAAACCCCAGGTCCCCTGCACCCCAGCCCTGGGGCCCACAGGAGGAGAGCGAGGGGCTGAGGATAAGCAGGAAGTCCCCTGCAGGGTTCAGCCGAGGACCCCGGCCCCAGGAGAGTCAGGCTACGAGCCCCCACTCCCCCGCACCCCTGAGAATCGGAATCTGGCTGGTGCAAAGCCAGCTGTGTCGGCGGAGTTCAGGGGCTCCATGCATGGAGCGCCGGGAACCTCAGGACACCGTGCGTGTCTCTCCGAGCGGCAGTCCTGTTAACACAACACGGATTCTTTCCTACCCTGAGTCCAGCAGCAGGGGCAGCTTGGCTGTCTGTCTTTTCCAGAATCTTCACTGGGTGGGGCTGGGGATTTAGCTCAGTGGCACAGCGCCTGCCTGGCAAGCACGAGGTCGTGAGTCTGATTCCTGATACTGAAAAAAAAAAAAAAAAGAATCTTTACGGGGAAAGGCCCCTTTCCCTGTGCCGCGGGCCTCTGGTGCCAGGGCAGCCACGGCTTGGAGAGCCAGCTCTCGCGCACTCTCAGGGCTGCCGGCTGTGGGGACTGTGCAGAGCCACGGGCTGATGGCTGCAGGCAGAGCACCAGGCTCTGAGTGACTGGGCAGATCAGGACAGGAGCACACAGACGGCTGAGCGGCTGGGACTTCCTCCTTCGGTCTCTTGGTTGCATCCAGGGCGAAATGGAGGGGAGGCCCAGGGGAGGGGATCGCCGCCTCCTAGAAGGCTGCTGCATGTTTCACCCCAACCTGCCTTGGCACTCAGCGTCCATGGCCTTGATGCGTGCCAGCACCCGTGTGCCCACCTCCCAGGAGGCTGGGCGTCTTGGTCTGTACTGGTGGCGATTAGGGTCCAGATGTCTTTGTGGATAATTAGGGGGCAGGAGGGGGGCCTGGGACTTGGCCAAGGCTGCAGGATTAGGACTTTGTGCTCCCAGCTGCCTGAGCACCCATGGGAGCCATTCAGGCTCCATGCCAAGGTGGATCTCGGGGAAGGACGTGTACGGAACCTGGAGGTTTGGAGTGGCGGGTGAGACAAGCAGCCACCACGTGACCTAAATCTGCTTGAGCGGCCGTCCCTTCCTCATGTCCCCGGCCCTCCCTGTCTGTTGGGGCTGGTGCCCGTCATCCGTGTTGCTCCTTTGCCTTTGCCGAGAGACCCTTTAGGGGAGACGGTGCCACACACTGTATCAACGAGGGGACTGTCTCGGGGATCCAGCGGGCAGATACTCGGTGGGTGCTCTGGGCCCCCTTACCCTGCTGATGACGCAGTGTCTCTGCGGCAGGGGCTACGTTTGCCGTAGGCACTGCCAGCTTCCAAGGAGGTGACCAACTGGCCTTTGTTTTTTGTTTTTTTTTTTTTTTTTGGTCTTTTTTGAGACAGAGTCTCGCTATGCAGTTCAGGCTGGCCTTGAACTCACTTTGTAGCCCAGGTTGGCCTCGAACTCACAACGATCCTCCTGCCTCAGCCTCCTGAGTGCTGGGATTACAGGTGTGTGCCACCACGCCCGGTCCAACTGGCCTTTGTTGATGGATGAACTTGTGACCCCAATTTCCAGATGAGGAAGTGAGCTCGGAGGAGTTAGGCAAGCAGAGGAATTAGGTTTGCAGAGCCTCTTCGAGGGGAGCGGCCACCCCAAGCCTGCTCCCAGGGAGCCTCAGGTTCCCTCGCTGACCCAGGAGGCCTTCTCTCAGACACCGTTGCCCACTTCCTTCCCCGATCCCTTCCTGTCTTGGCTGTCGCCCACGCCCCAGCCTGCCCTGCCTCAGCATGGACCCGCCGGGTCCCCGGGCCCTGAGCCGACCCACCGCACCGCGATGGATTCCAAGTGGCACAAGAGTGAGGAGGGTGTTGGGGGTTTCTCTCTCATGCGACAGCTTTCCCACGATGTCCTGCACTACAGTGTGTGTGTGTGTGTGTGTGTGTGTCCCTGGAGACACTGGCGGGCCCCTGCCCCACTCCTGCCCCAGCCTCTGCTCTCGCCTTTCCTGCCCGGCTTGGCCCCTGCAGTGACCAGCGGGCATCTCCTTTGTGGAGGGGCTGCTCCAGGAGGGCTGGGCCTTGAGCCGTGGAGGCCTGTGGACAGCTCAGGAGAGGATGTGGTGAGTCCCCAGGTGTCGTGAAGCCCTCTTCAGCAAGCTCAGTCAGAAGGGCTTGGTCTCCGCCCTCGAAGGAGCTGGCTCTGCTCTCCCAGGCTGCCTGCTGGTGACGTTGGAGGTACGTTCTGGTGTCCCCTCCAAGGGTCCCCATGGGGAAGGCAGCAGGAACCTGCCCTGGCTCCCAAAGCCTCTCTTTTGTTCTGGATAGTGACAGAGAGAGCAGGACCCCGTGGCAGCTCCGGGAGGCAGAGGGGCATTTTCTGAGAAGACTCTTCTTTATGACTGTCCGGCGTTGTGGTGAGGACAGCGGGGGGGAGCTGGGCAGAGTCTCAAGCCATGGGTGGGGCCCGGGCGGCTCCCTGCCTGGTCACCCTGGGCCTCAGCGTCTCCCTGGAGCAGGGGAAGGAGCTGCATTTAGGGCAGCGGGGGCAGAGGCAGGGTACCAGCTGTCTTGATGTACTTCTCTGAATCATGCGCAAATAGTCAAATATTTAAACAACAAGCAACAAGACATAGAAATACCCATTTTTATAAGGAAGGTGGCTGGTAAAGCCTTCTTGGAGGAGGGCTGAGCTGTGACACTGGCCAGGGACCCGTCCCAGGGCCCTGACACCGAAGACTTGGTGTCAAGGTGGACACCGGGCCCCTGTGAGCCTCCTCCATGCTGCTGTCCCAGTCGGCCTGGCTGTCCTGCCTGTCTGGCAGCCAGCTGTTGGCATAGGTTGGGCTGGGGACATGCAGGGACCTCGTCTGGGGAAGGACTGTCCAGTGCCCCGTCTTCATGACCCAGCCAGCATGAGCGCCACGTCCTAGTGCCAGGAGAAGGCTTGGAGGTACCCACCGCACCAGTCTGTGGGACTGGAAGCAGCGGCAGGGAGCCAGAATGGCTGTCACCATCTTGTCAAGCTCTCCACCGAACAACAGGAGCTGCAGCTCTGGAGGGCTGGCGGTGCCCCACAGCCACGCACAAGATGCTTCTTATACAGGGGGACCGTGCTGGATGAATCACCCAGGGCTACCTCGGGTAGTTTCTATTTCTGTAGACACTCGAAAGTCACAGTACATGCAACTTCTAAAAAACAGCCCATGCCAGGGGCCTTGGAGGGGCCTCCAAGAGCTTCCCGGGCATGGGAATGCACCCACCAGGCTGAGTTTCAGCTCAGACTTTCCTCACTGCCTGCGATCTGTAAGGGTTCCCTGCTGAGCTCAACCAGAACTCTCAGCCCCCGAGATGGGAGACCCTGGGGTCCTAACCATCCACGTAGTCACATGCAGGGGCCCGGCATGCCCGGCCCTCAGCTGTGGTGACTTCCCAGCCCCGCTCCTTTCTGCTCCCCGCCCTAAACTCCCGAAGGGCTACACAGATGTCATGGTGGCCCTTCTCAGCTGCTTGCTGTGCTTGTATGCCCTTGTCTTCCTTCTCTTCCCAAGACTTCCCAGGCCTCCACACACAGACAGACACACACACACACACACACACACACACACATGCATATACACGAACATACATGTTTTTGGCTTTTGGCTGGGCAGGTGCACAGACCCTCCAAGAAGACTGTAGAGTGCATGCCCTCTTCCTGGGAATGTACTGCCCACACCCCACATGCTGGTTCTACCCAGAGGGCAGGGGCCCCCACTGCGTCCCCCCAAAACACCCGGACAGGCTGTGGCTGAGCTGGAGCCCCTTAGGAACCTCTGGCCCCACCCCCTCATTTCACCCCGAGGAAGTTCAGAGCCGCAGAGGGGAAGTGGCTCTGCCCCAGCAGGCAGGTGGCCAGCCCTGGAGGAGAAGTGACATCTCTCAGCTCCCTCAGCTGCACTGGACGGTCCACAGGTAATAGCCTTGAGGCCATTTAGGGAAACTGAGGCAGGGAGCTCTGATCTGAGCTTGCTCTTGTTAGATAGACCCTGGGAGATGTCCCTGAGCCCGCGGGACTCCGTGGGGCTGTGTCCCGCCTGCCCCAGCCCAGTGGGCTGCTCCCTGTGACAGGACAGTGGCAGTCCCCAGGGACGCTTCGTGACAGCAGCAGCAGCAGCAGCAGGCAGACCCGGTTTGTCCCCGACTGTGGTGACATTTTTCTACGAACCCTCTGCTTCCTCCTGATCTGAATCAGAGTTGCGGCGTGAGGTTAGTGCGGGAGCTCCTGTGGGCAGCCCTGGCACTATCCCCGTGGGCTGGCTTACGTGCCAGCGCCCTGCCCAGCCCTGCCCACTCCCTCAGCATCTTGTCAGAAATCACCAAGCACTCTCTGGGATCGTCCTGCAGGCTCTGAGCAAGATGCCTGTGGCGTGTCAGGGACGCCCATGGGAGCTCAGGCCCAGCCACTCACAGCTGTCAAGTCCCTCGTCTCAGTTTACCTCTGTGGAGAATGGTATGATATTGGTTTCCTCCTCACAGGGCTCTTGAACTCAGTAAATGAGGGGGGCTGCTTGTCCCCTGGTGAGCACCTGCCCAGCTGTGTCTGCTGTCATCTACTGATTGCATTTTCGTTGTTGTTTTTGTTTTTTGAGACAGGGTCTCACCATGCAGTTCAGGCTGCTCTTGAACTCAGTGTGTAGCCCAGGCTGGTCTTGAACTCATGGCGATCCTCCTGCCTCAGCCTCCCAAGGGCTGCGATTATAGGTGTGCACACCACGCACTTCTTGAGCCTTAATGCAGGGTCTCTTGGAGAGGCCGGAGGGAAGACGCGGCAGGAGTTAGAACCCTGAAAATCCCAGCTTCATCTTTGACAGTGAGGGCACAGTAGGACGTGTCTGCTGGCCCGTTCTAGACTGGGCTTTGTGCTGCCCTCGACGGTGGGGACTGAAGTGCAGGGTAACAAGGTGCCTGAGATGATGCCCCCCAGCTCCGCGGAGGGCTGGGCCTGCTCCGCCCGCCCTCCTCTCCTTCTTCAGTCTTTCTTCCCGTAGGACTTTCCCAGGGACCACGTTTCATGAGGCTGTGTGAGTTAAAGGTCCATGTCCTGGGTTGCCACCGGACAGCAGGGACATGCCCTGCGGTACAGACTCCTATGGGCCCCCACTTGGCCACACTGGGCAGATGACGTGGGGGGATCGAGGCGTGCGTGTTGGAGAGAAGATGCACGCGGAAGGAGGAGCAGGCGGGCAGGAGCGAGGAGGGCACGGGGGTTCCTTAAAGGCGGACGCTTTGGGGGGCGCTGCCGGGTGGGGGGGGAGTGGGCGGGGCTGACGAAGGCCCAGTGTGTGCGTTGCAGCTGGTCTCTCTCTGCCTGTTGGGCGGGGGGAGACCCTTCACCACGCTGGTCCATAAAACTGGTGCAACGACAGCGTCCCGGGAGCGTGCCCGCCCCCTCCACGGGGCACTCGGCGTGGAGCCAGCAGTAGCGCGAGTCCCCGAGCTGCCCCTTCACCCAGGTCCAGACCTGCCATTCTCCTGCAGTCAGCACCGCGAGACTGTCCCCACGTCCTCTGAGCCTGTGCCTCCTTGCAGCGTGGCCCAGAGGCCCGCGCAGGCGCAGCCTGGTGGGTTATCCCGGGGCAGTGTAGATAACGGCCGCCCGGTAGGTATCTCTACCCAGCTGCAGCCCCGCGCTGCGACGCAAGGGCGCGGACTCAGGGCAGGAGACCGGGTGAGCGGCTTCGGGCTGGGGCAGGTCCCAGGGCCCCCAAACTGCATACCTGATGCAGCACCTGCTGTTCTCTTCCGTGGGGCGGGGGCGCTGCCATCCCCAGGTGGCCCAGATCGGACGCCCGAGTCGATGGGGGCTCTGCATCCCGAAGATGTCCCTGATGTGTGCTCTCTCTGTGGTCCAGGCCCAGGGATGGGGCGGAAGGAAGGCTGGCTTGGTGCTGAGCCTCGCAGCTGGGTTTCAGTGCCTTGAAACCACGCCAGGTGGGCTGGTGGGTTGGGGAGGTTAGGGCACCACGGAGCACAGGGGCCACAGGGCCTTGCACCTGCACGGTCCAAAAGATGACAGGATTGGTAGCACGAGTCAGTGCGGTGAGGCTGGCTCCATGGGCCAGGACTGCAGATGGGACCCCAGGGATCACCCGAGGGAGCCGCGGGAGAACCAAAGCTTGGACTCCAGGTCTCTTCCCCATGAAAAATCACACGCTGGGCATGGTGGTGCATGCCTATTATTCCAGCACTTGGGAGGCTGAGGCAGGAGAATCACCACAAGTTCAAGGCCAGCCTGGGCTACATAGTGAGTTCAAGGCCAGCCTGAACTGCATAGAGAGAGCCTGTCTTAAAAACAAACAAAACCAAACCAAAAGCCAAGGTGAAAAAGCACGCAACAGTGATATATTTGAAGAAGATTTTACTTCGGGGTTAAAAACTAACAAAAGCATCCTCTGGGAAAGACACTACCTCCTGTGTGAATTTCCTCTGCCACATCCTGCACACACAGGTCTCCATCGCTGCTTGTATCCCCCTGGCAACAGGGAGCTCACTACGTGGCAAGGCCACGTCTTCTGATAGAGTCACAGGTCTGCTCGTGGAAGCGCTGACCACGAGCATATCTTGACCACGAGCTGACCACGCAGCATGTCTTGGGCGTGGGTTTCCGTCTGCGGATCAGCAGCGCCCCTGTGCTGTCTGCCTCTTCCTGTGTCGTGGTCCCCGGCTTCGCAGCGTGCAGCCCCTGCAGCCAGCCAGCCCACGGTCCCAGGGCAATCAGCGCCCCACAAGCGCCCTGTTCCTCTTCTACCTTCTCTCGGGGTAGCCTAGGTTGCCTCACTTTCTTGTTTACAGGAAAAAATGCCCAGAAATTCCCGTTTTCATTTCAGCTGTGGCTGCGTCGGATTCGGGGCGCAGATATTTGTTCCTTCCCAATATTTCAGCAGCTCCCTCCTGGTTTGGTCTGTGACTCACGCGCTGTTTAAGAGGCTGTGGGAGAGATTGCCTAGAAATGCCCACCGCGCATTAGTAATATCAAGAAGCTGCAGCAGAGCAGTTAGGCTGATAAAGAGCCGTTTTCTCTGTGGTCTGAGAACGCGGAGTGGAAAATGGCCTTTGCCTTTGACGACGTCGGCCCCTGAAACGGGATCAACTTTGTGAAAGACTTTCTCTTCTACAAAGCACATTCCCTTGTGGAATGATCTCGCTCTCCACTCGATCTGCATGTTTTCCTTATTAGCTGCACTGCCTGAATGTCTACTTTCCCTGTCTAGCTGATCGATGATATTGTAAGAGGGCAGCACTGCAATTATCTTTCCATTGTGGTTCACTTTTTGCATTTCGGCATGTTCCCACCACGTACTGCTCCGCTGTGCTCTCTGGAACACAAATTGCAAGTTTACGTTCTCTTAAAACTTTTTTTTGGCTTGTTTCTTCATGTTCCTTAACTTCTACTGTGGTAGAGTCTCCCTAAACTTCTCAAGTCTTTTCCCTACGAAACTCTGTCTTGTTGGATCCCCTGCATTTCTAGACATGCCCGCTACACCACAGATTAGTCACCATTTTGCCGTTTTTGTTTCTCTGTTTTTCATCCTGACGAAAGATGCTTGGATTTTAAGAGAATAGGTGCCCTTTTGATAAGGCTTATTAATGTGAAATTTTAAAATAACATTTGTATACACCTCTATGGAGTTGCTCCTCTTTCTATATTGAGATGTTGCGATTTTCGTTTTCAGTTTCTATTATGAATTTTCTCTTCTTTTTGTCCCTTGAAGGTAGGTAAGCTAATTTAACCTAAATATCCCATTTGAAAAATGAAGTTTGGACTTCTACATTTGTTTATTTTTACTGATTGCTCACCAAACTTTGGGAGGTTATAGTTTGGATACTTTTCTTTATATTTCCCCTCCTCTTCACTGTCAGCCTGTCATTTCATGTCTTTTTGTTGGTTGGTTTGTCTTTTTGAGATAAGGTCTCGCTCTGTAGTCCAGGCTGGCCTCGAACTCAAGGTGATCCTCCTGCTTCAGCCTCTTGAGTGCTGGGATTACAGGTGTGCGCCACCATCCCCGGCCAAAGCGTTCATTTTTGACCCGGCAAGATTATGCCTCATCAGCCGGTTAGCTCAACACATTTCATTGAATTTTGTGTAAACTTCACACCTTGCTGTACCTCAAACCCACACCCGGCCACACTTTGTTTCTTTGCTATTTAAGGGAAAATCTAAAACAATTCTTATTTTCTCCCAGCATTTGATATAATTTTTAAAGAAACAAACTGTTTTTGTCTTCATGTGTCTTATGATATCATTAGAAAAGTATATAAAAATTGAGAGGAGAAGATAACAGATGTGAAAATCACCTACCAACTCGCTGCTAGAATGCAAAACTGTTCGGTATATGGAAATTTTTTTCTAGGTTTTTTTCTTCTGTGCGTGGGTTTTTCAATCATAGTTAAAATCATTCTGAATGTATAATGCTATAGTTTGGGGTTTTTTACATAACCTAGTCAGCATAATCATAACGCAGAAGAATTTTCCATTGAGTAGATTAACCCCGGTGAGATCAACCTCTTGTTGGTATTTAAAAAGTATTTACATAGTTTTTGTTGCTAGAAAAAAAAGTACCAAAGTAAACATATTTTTATGTATGGTTTCCTTTCTTTTGCTTACTTTACTGAAGGTGAAGTCTAAGAATTATTGTATAGAAAGCTGATGCAGTGTTTCCGGTGATTTTTTAAATGACCGAACCCCAGACCTGTTCTAATAATGGGCACCTACATGCATCTGCATACCAGTAACTGTTTCACTGGGCCTGGTCCCGCTTCTTTGCTAAGTTTGAGGCGTAAATGCTTTTATCTCTTTTTCAGTCCTCTTCTGGGGACTATCTTTGTCCTTTGCCTGTTTGCTTATGTAGAGAAAGAGCATAATTTAACATTTTGCAAGTGTTTTGCTTCTTCCAGTGTATTATTTGATTTTT